GAAAAACTGAGAGAATTTTTTTTTTTTGTAACCTGGCCACTTTTTTTGTGACATTCCCAATATACATTGAGATCTTTTGCTGGAGAAATCATCTTTTCCCAGAGAAATCCACTTCCTCATGGAGAGGGTGCTCAGGCACTGGGATGCTCTGCCCAGGGAAGTGGTGGAGTCACTGTCCCTGGAGGGGTTTAAGGAGAGGCTGGGTGAGGCACTTAGGGCCGTGGTATGGCCAATGAGATGGTGATGGGGCATATAGGCTGGACTTGATGATCTCAGAGGTCTTTTTCAGCCTCAACTATTCTGTGATTCTGTATGTTTTGCATCTAAGTGTGCTAGCCAGGACCATGAAAGATGTGGATTTTACAGAAACACTAGAAAAAGCACAAGCATTGAGGAAAAAACACTCTCAAAAACCCCACACTCTCTTGGAGGCTCTCAAAGGCACTAGTGTCGTTGGGTTAGTGAAGATTTGGGGCTGGAGACATCAAGTTGGAATTTAAAGTGTTCCCAGAGCCAACATTTAGTAAGTTTGGATTTTGACACTTTTAAAGAGTCATCATAAAAACTCACCTCAGCCATAACTCTTCCTTGTCAGGCTGGCGAGTATTTTATGCACCATAAAAATTAAAAAGGGGAATAAAACAGAGCCTTCCAGCCATGGGCTGTGAAATAGATTAATAAACCACTACTGGCTGAAAGCTGAAAGGAAAGGTTCAGGGGTGGCAATCCAGGCCAAAAGGCCATGCAAAACAAAGAGGGTGGAGACTATAATGCACAGGCTTGCCAGAACAGGAACTGCTTGATCAAACTCCTGGAAAAATTTCAGGTGCCACAGCTTGCAGGACGCAGAGCGTGGTGCTATGAACTGACTGGGGAAATAGAGACCTCAGCACCCTCCAGGATCCGATCTTTCCTATAATTATGTGTCAGGTGAGTTTGTTTGCATTGACATGAAGCCCGGGGAAGAGGTGGCAATCCAGCCTCTTTCTTCATCGTAACAGCTGCATCTCAGCTCCTACGTGGTCTGAAGCTTTCGACGCAGGTCATCTGTGGCGTGGCAGTGCAGGACGGTGGGGTCAGGAGGACTTCCAGCTCCAGGACTGCTGCTGGAAGAGCAGTGAGAAGATGACAAGGAGTGTTGGGAGTAGACAGGGGCCATGTGTGGGTCTCCGGATGCAGAGTGGAAGATAGGTGCTGGGTGGCCAGGTTGGATAGGACCTCCATCCTGGGGATGACTGTGAGAGGGCTGTTACTGGACACTGCCAAGGCTCTGCCCCACTTTTCCTCTGCTGTTGTGTCCTGAGCCCCACATTTTTTCAAGAACTGAGTTCACTTGCAATGCAGATTCACGCTCACCAACCTTTGATTTCCCTGCCTTAATTTCCCCAGGGACATCTATTTCACAAGAGTCACACGTTTCAGAGCCCTTACGCATGTTTAATTGGCTGAAAAAGGAAGCCAACCCGCATGCTCCATGTAGAGCTTTGTCTCTCAGTCATACATACCCAGGAGGCTGTAAAAAAAGCTTCCTAGAAGCCCTCTTATAAAATCAATTGTGGAAGTGTGTGCTCAGGGAATTCACAAAGCATACTATTTACTCAGCTCCTCTGCGTTTAGCCACCTTCCCCTTTGGAGACACAATAACAGGATGACAACCTGATAACAATTCTCTGATAAGGCGCTATATCATCAGGACATAAAACTGCTACGCTGGAACATACAAATGGGCCCCTCTCCAGGCAGTAACGATGCAAGATATTTCAATGAAGGTGTAAAGCTGCCGTGTAATGCACCTGTGGTAATTGCATGGGGCTGTGTACCCTGGGAGCTATTTCTTCCTGACCGCAGCTGGTGATCAGCATATGCCCGGAGCATGAGGTTTGATAGTCCTTTTATCCCAGCCAGTACATCTGCTGCTGCTGTCCATATCCATCTAGATGTCTAATAAAATAAAAAAATGATACTGAGCTGTTTGCTCCAATAATATTCTGTGATATCCATCAGGATGACGGGGCATTACAGACCATTGAGCGGATGAAAGGGAAGCACCGATTGAATAAAATTAGCTTCCCAGCAACTTAAAAATGAAGAGGGGATGTTTCCGCGGGAGCTCTGGGTCATTAGCTCCATGCCAAGTAAGAAAGGGCTGTTGGCAAGGAGAAGGGGAGATATATTAATAAATATGAGGTGTGTGTGTTACCACACACAGGGCCCTGGCTGTGTCCTCAGAACAGGTGAGGACCACTGACCCAGGGAAGGACATATAAGAAATAGCAAGAATAACAAATGAATATAAGAAATAGCAAGTGAAACCCCATGTATGTAGGGAGCTCGTGGTTTGAGCTCTGCCCATCAGCAAGAGCCTGTGCTACAGTCTGGTGTCCTCTGTGGCAAACCCTGTAAAGGGGCCAAAGATTTGAGCTGTAGAGGGTCACAACTCAACAAGATTTGAGCTGTAGAGGGTCACAGCTCAATGGAGAGATGCTGTCCTACTCCAAAGCTATAACATATTTTTAAAAGCCAGTTAAATCCTCTTCCCTTCTCTAAGGATATGCTCATACGTGGGTTCCAGTGACTCTGAGTATCCACTTACTTACGGTATTTAGAACACATATCCCCTTGGATCCTCTAAGCACGCCTCCCCTCTATCTGTTTAAACCTTGTACATATCAAACATCCCTCAGGAGCCTCAGCTGCCTTCCCACTAACTTCTCTTTTCAACACAGGCATGAATGTACTGGAGAGTTCCCCTTACGAGCCGTTCATCAGAGGCTTTGATTACGTCCGCCTGGCATCCATCACCGCAGGTAAGCAGGTGGGAAGATGCTCTTACATGGACAGGGAGGGAACTGGCTGTGGGATCAAGGGCTATGGACCAGGCAATCCTTTGTGGGCTCTTCACAAAACATTGATGAGACCTTGCAGTCATTCTTCCAAGGAGCTGCTTATGATTCCCGTGCTAAACTGTTGGTAGTAGAAGCAGAAGCATTTGTGATTTTTGTTCTTTGGTCTCTCATGTTCATACTGTGAAGGGCTAGGACTGAGGGACATCGTAGGAAGGCC